CAGAAGTACACTTTTTCATTATTGCAAGTTTACAATTTTTTTTAAATTAAATATTTTTTTCAGACTTACAAATTAATTATATTTTTTTTTCCAAAAGAAGTTTAGGCACAAATGCATTGCTCCACAGTGTGGAAGGATTGCCATTCAGTCTCTGGGCTGTGTCTCAGCCTGTACATACCGCTTCGCACATTCAGAATGATATGTTAAAGAAGTCGTCCCTCAAGTTGCACATTTTTTCTTTCTTTCTTTCCTTTTTGTTTTTCTGCTTTTTGATAATTGGGAATGCTGAAACCTCTTGCGTCTGCGATTCATAACTACTCAGACTTGTCTTATATTACAAAAAGGGGGTTAAGGAGCAGTGTTTATGTGGGTTTAGGACAATACAGCTGTTAAGGAAGTGGTCTCTTGTTTTAATGAAGCAAGGTGGCAACTTGGACCTGAGGAAAGAAAAGGAGAAAAAAGTAATTAAAACAGTGATTGAAAATGATTTAAAAAAATTTTAAGCCCTCATTTTCAAGAAAGAACAGTATTGGCTAATCTGGGTAATACCAGTTGTTGGTGGCTTGGGTGCCACGGGGAACTGGGAGAGGGCAGAGACAGTGGAAAACGCAGCCAGCATACCCTTTCACATCTGGCCCATGTGATTCGCTGCATCTCCCATCCCAGGGTGTGGGCCAGCCAAGGACAGAGGGGGAGGCTCTGAGGATACTTTCTCTTCCTCCCTTCTTTTCAGACAGGCAGCTTTCGGGTTCAGATTCCTTTCTGTGGGATATGAAAGCACAGGGCATCCAGTCAGCAGGGCTCTACAGAGAGGGTGGAGAAGTTCTCCTCTGTCCATGCCAGACACGTAGACTCTGATTCACATTACCGATGAGGCTAGCAGTGAGGGCCGGTGCACAAGGAATCGACTCATCTAACTGCCATTAACTGCACCCAGAATCCGAACTCTACAAGCATGAAGGCAGGCATGATGACTCAGGCCTGTCTCCCTGCTCTTGAGAGGCAGAGCCAGTAAATCATAAACTTAAGGGCAGTCTCTGCTACATATAGTTCTAGGCTAGACTAAGCTATACAATAAGAACCTTCCTCAAAATGACAACTACGATTTAAAACAATGAGCTAGGAAGATAGATAGCTCATTGGGAGTGATTATTGTGCAAGCATGAGGACCTAAGTTCAGTACCTGGCATCCATACAAAAAGTGACATGTGGCAAGCTGGTAACCCAGCACTGGCAAGACAGAGATAGGCAGATCCTTGGGGCCTCACTGGCTATCCAACCCTAGTCTAATTGGAAAGCCCCAGGTCCCAGTGAGAGGTTCTGTCTCAGGAATCATGATAGACAACCCGAAAAGAATGATGCCCCAGGTTTACTAACCTTTAACTTACAACCTACACACACACACACACACACACACACACACACACACACACACACACACACACCCTACAAAAGCAAAGAATGAAAATAGGCTGGCCAATCATGTTTGATAATTGGCCACACAAAAGGAACAGCTGTAATATAACACTAGTTAGAAGAACACGCTACAACTTAATTAACAGGAGAGAGATTTTGATGCAGTCCCCCACCCTAGCAATTCTTTAGAGGGTGCTAAAGCATCTATCTCCTGACCTCGCACTTGCTGCTCCAGGCTGAGGATGACAGCCACGGCCTGGTGGAGAATCAGGAGCTTGGTCTGTGGTTTATCGCTCTTCAGGTGGAGCTGCACCATGCGGCCCAGCTCCTTGAAAGCCTCATTGATATCTCGGACCCTCAGGCGCTCACGGGCATTGTTGGCCATCCTCCGTTCCTTTTCACGTTCTGCCTTCTGCTCTGGGGTCAGGTCTTCATCATCGTTATTGCTGTAGGGCGAGAGGGATGGGACCTTTCATGACAGTGTGGGGGAAAGATGCTATGTGTATCACATTACTTTGAGACTTGTCAGATCCATCCTTGGCAGAACTGTATCCGTTTGACCTTCATCTGACCTTGGGGTTGGTTTAGGAAAAGCACACACAAAGCTTTTGTTTCTTCCCAGGGATTTTACCCAAATCAAACAGCAGAGGATGATCTGGGCTCCATCAGGGTCATAGTGTCCATCCTGGTGTAGGGGACACAGAAGGGGAATGAAAACTTCATGCACTATGCAATATACACATCTCAGTCTTAACGCAGACAGCCACCCAGGCTCAGCTTATACTAATCAAAATGCAAATGACTACTTCATCTTTAAAACTTTTTCATACTGTGAGATGTGAAACGGACGGAAAATAAGTGATTGGCAGTCAGATTTTTGTTGGTCGCAGTAAATATAAGCCATGTTAACAGGAGGAGGAACTAGAAACATCATAGAGCAGACAGTGTCCACATCCAAAGACTGTCCAAACCACTGACTCTGTCTGAGTCTTGAGTCTTCTTTCTTCTACAAACTAAATGAAAAGTATGTGTGGGGGGTGGGGTGGGGGAGTGATACCATGATTTCTGTGGTCTTTCAGATGACGGATGCTTATGATCTCCAAAATAAGTTGAGGAAGTTGAGGAAACCTGAAGTGACATCAGCTATGTAACACAATACAAAACCCAAACACCTCCTCTTTATAACTGACCAGGAACTCTATGAGTCACAAAGAAAGCCAAACAGGATTCTCTGTTAGAACTAAAATATCCTGTGATTCATCATAAAAGAATGGGTTCAGTAGGCATAAGGTTGGGGTCTGATCATCTCTGGTGGTCACAGTGGCCCATCTGAGACTTGGCTATAGAAGGTGACTCAGTGGATGAGCCATCTGGAAAACATATCTCCTCTCACAGATGTATTCATGGATCCAGGGTTTGGGACATTTTGAGGGATATTATAAAGAAAAGAGAGCTGGGGGAGACGTTTGTCTAAAAAGACTCACCAAAACAAAAAACCCCAGATGAGATACCAATACCAAAACTCTTCTGGACTCTCAATTTGAGAAACATTGGGGGGAGGGAAAGAAGAAATACTACTACACACAGAGAGAGAGAGAGAGAGAGAGAGAGAGAGAGAGAGAGAGAGAGAGAGAGAGAGAGACCTTTCCAAGCTACTGGGTACAGAGACTTGAAGAGAAGCTTAAAATCCCCTAAGTCCAAATTGTTCAGAGTCAAATCAAGATGATGAGTCTTCATACTGAAGATGAACCGAAGATGGGAGGATTAGCTCTTCACTGTGTATGTAATGAATGCTGACTTTAAATGGGTATCGTCTTCCCATGTGACCTGTCCCTGAACTCCTAGAGTCCTATTTAGAATGCCCTTGCCCATGCCTGTATCTTGAAGTGCTTTCCCCATTTCTTTCTAGTCTCAGGTTTTACAACAGGGTCTTCCACCCATTCTCAACTGATTTTTGTACAGGGTGAGTGTTAGGGACCTGGTTTCACCCTTTTCTGCATGTGGTCCTCCAGTTTTCCTAACATAGGAAAGTAGAAGCATGGATACTGTAGGATGCTAACAGGAAGCAAAAAACAGGAGAGTATGAACATGTTCAAAGTCCATAGTGGGCTTGATGGGAAATACTATTATGAAACCCATCAATATGTACAATGAACATATACTAATAAAAAAAGAGAGAAAAGAAAAGCCACAGGTGGCATTCAAAGTGCAAATAGGGCCAATTACCCTGGAGGAGCCCTAACCAGGAGAGGCATTCTTGAACTCTGTAAAGTACCTGAGGTAGTAAGGATGCTCAGACAGAAGAGTATGTATTGGGGTGAGGTGGTGTGAAATGCTTGACTTCGTGACCTCCCAACCATCACTGACTATGCTGCTATGAAAGAAAGCCAGAATACCACTGACTGAAAGCTAGTGCAAGGCTTTTCTTTCTCTGTTTCCTCATTTTCCTTCCAGCTTCTCCTTTTCCTTCTCCCAGAATTTCTGCCACTGGTGGGAATGCAGCCTGTGATTAAACTGTCCCTGCATACCATTAAGCAAATAGTTGAGTCTCTGGTAGGCCTATTCTGAAGCAAAAGACTGGCAATATTTTTTAGACAGTAACCACGTGTCAAACTTTACATAGGGAGAACCAGAAAATGGGAAAAAAATTTCAGACTAATGATTAATTTGAACTAGTTATTTACATAAATAAATTCCTCATGGACACTATTTCACTGAAGACTCTACAAGGCATACATTATAAATGGCATGAAGATGGCTGTTAACAAGAGATACCTAATGGTAAGTAAAAAGATGTTCTGAAACTTCAAAGAACCAATTAATATGTATACGTTATGGCCACTAAATTACCAAGAACTCACTCAGAGAAACTATTCAGGATGTGAAATCCCCACCCAAGGATTTCTTGCCAATGTGACCACAAATCAGGAAACTACAGTGATGGGAGGAGGGGGTAAGATAGAAGCACTTAGCATCTCTGGACCTAGTAATAGCAGGACACAGAATGTAATTTGTCATGATAGTTATGAAGAGATGAAAAAGCAGTGTGAATGCGACCCATGAAAGACACCAGCTATAGCTCTGAGAACCATAACCTTTAAAAGAAGCTGAAGTCTTGACACAACTGGGTAATCTGCAAAGAAAATTAACCCAAAGGAATGAAGGCAATGCATATGGGTCCTGAGGAACCCTAAACCAGCTATCTGATCATCAGACTCAAGTTAAAAGAGACACACTGAATTCAAAGATAGTAGATATTTAAGAACAGCAACTTGAAGCTATTTCCCTGCAGTTGTGTTTTTAGCAGGGAGGGAAAAAAATTAGAATTTATTTTACATACAGCAACCTGTTCAGAATAAAATTAAGAAATCAGAATTTTCTTACTTGAAAGACAAGAAAAAAAAACATACAGTTGTATATACAATCAATTGACTCTTGAGCATGGCTAAAAATCTCCTCTTTAGAAATACTTGAGGCAAAAACAGTTCTGACCAAATTTGAAGAATACAGTTTTAACAAGAAACTGTTTTCATTTGAATCAGGTACAAATAATTTTATGGTATGCAATTAGCATTGGGTCCAAATTTGTAAATCCAAAGCCATTTAGGCCTCACTAGAATACAGGTATCTTAAATGATACCTGAACAGGCCTTTCATTTTCTTTCCATCTGAGGCTTTACCTGCCAGGAAAAAACTGAATAGTTTCTTCCTGTTCTGTTCACTTCATCAAAGTCCAATAAAGGAATTAAATGAAGCGACAGTATTATATACTGTTACCTAGATCTTGACCTAGTAATTGATTTGATATCCTTCTTGTCGTCATCTAATTTCTTGTCCTCAGAAGATTTTGTGTCTTGCAGGTTCTCATCGCCCTCATCATCAGATTTGATCTCGGAGCTGCCAGAAGACACACTCTGGCCCTGGAGACCTGGTGGCATTCCTATAGAAAGATGAAATAAAAAAAGATAGAAACAGAGATCAGCTGACGTCCAGAATTCTATGCATAAATACATTCACTCCAGAAACGCAGAACTTCCTTCCAGCCAGACCCGGGCTCCTCCTGGTTCCCCTGTGCTGTCTGGTGAAGTTTCAGAAATGCACCTGTGGAAACAAGTTTTCCTTGCATCGGCTCTGAGGTTAAATTCTATTTTGCAATCTTTTGGAGTAGATGGTAATTTCACTGTCTACAAAACATCAACTTAATTGCAATGAAAATCATAATCATGAAAATCATACACCTCAATGTTCTGATTAAGAACCCGAGTAAATATCAGCTATTATATTGAGTTTCTTCCATATGCAATGATTTAATAGAAAAATGTCCTTAAAATATAATTCCCAGGGAGTACGCTAAAGATGTGCAGTCAAGGCTTCAATAGATACCCTAATGATACTCTGAAATTAAGCTTCTCTTATGTTTGAGGTGTAATCAGCATTTACAAATGGTACCTATGGAAGGGGGTGCACCGCTCCCAGGAAAAATCTGGGATTTTTAACTTTGCTCTACTGCTCATGTTCACACATCATTTGAAAGACTATTGGTTTGTTTGTATGTGTCTCTGTGAGAATATGCTCACATGTGTGTGCCTGTGACACACCTGTTCTCAAGAGGAGACCATTAGAGGGCATAGGGTACTCTTCCCTATTACTTTCAGCCTGCTCCTCTGAGGCGGGATCTCTCCCTAAAACCGGGAACTCAAGATTTCTTGGTTAGTCTGGAAGCTAGCAAGCTCCACTGTTCCTCCTGTGTTGTCTTCCCTGGGAGTTAGGGTTATGGAGATGTGCAGGGTGTGTTATGTGACATTTAAACCCTGGTCCGGATCATTGCTCATCAAGCACTCTTAACCACTTCCTGGCCTTCAGACTACATTTGGAACGTGACCTTGATATAATTCTCAATGTATTTCTCAGGTTGATGGATATCTGCAACAAAGATCCTTCCATTTGTAATCTGTGTACTCTAAAAACTTGTGACTAGGAATTTGTTTCATGGGCCAGGAGCATTCTTATCAGCTGGGAGCCCTGCATGATGCACAGTCCCACTGTTACAACAATTAGGCTCTCAGCTACAGCTTGAAAACCATGCAACAGAAAAAAGCCACGGGATCACTATTGCTTGCGTAATAATGAACTGTATACCTGTATCTCTGAAAAGTATTCAATATTTGTATTGATTAACATATACCTGTATCTCTGAATTCAATATTTGTATTGGTTAACAGCTGAAATAACGGTTATAGGACTTCTCAAGGTAGCATTATCTTGTTTATTTTAATCATGGAGGAATGAGAATGACACCACACAGGAACATTGTTCATCTGGCCCATGAGGAGCACAGGCAGTTGGACCTAGGTTTAGTCTTTGTAGAACAACTTCCTGGGGACATGAGAAGTCCTTGTAATGAGGTGGGCGGGGAAGCAGATTGTTATAGGGCTCGATCACCCCAGAAGATAAAACATCCCACACAGTTCATTGTTTTTCCTTTTTGCTATTTTAATGCCCCTACATTTCCTTCCATCTTAAACAACAACGACAATTTCCTCCGTATCCATTTGGAAACATCATTTTCAGGCTACAACTAACCATATTAGAGGAACCGAATGAGTAAAATGTGGAAATAGCTAAAATAAAATTTCCTCTCATCAGTCTGTTGTCTCATTCCCTCCTGAAATGGGACTGGAATATCAGAGGATGTCTGAGGAAAACAGTCACTCTAGAAACACAAATAGCTGGCCAAATTCTAGCTACTTTCCCATTATTTACCACTTTAATACCAAATTTGGCTCTTGGTTTTCTGCCAGGGCCTCCAAGATGCTGCCAAGGACACCTGCCATCAATGTGATGTCTATTGTTTAGCAAAGGTCAGAATGCCTTTTGAGGCGACTTACCTCTGTAAGGATCTTGGGGTGGGTTCAAGTCAGGGGAAGTTGCAGACTGAACAGGAAGCTGTGGAACCGGAACCTGGTTTGGCAGGAGGGAATGGCTGCCTCTCAGAGCTACGCCATCTTCACGGTGGGCCCCAACCTGAAACAATAAAAGGAACCAGAGTGCTGAGTGTGGACTGAAGGTACAACAGCTATTTTCCAGGGCTAACTGGGACTCGGTGCAGGAAGGGTGCCTTGTGAAAAGCCATCCTCCCAATGTATTTCACTAGAGGGCGCTGAAGGACTGAACACGTACCTTAGTTCTGTGCAAAAAAAAAAAAAAAAAAAAAAAAAAAAAAAAAAAAACCAACACTTAACACTCAGTAAGATGCCATGCCTTACATCCAGTGACAAATATGGCAGAGTAGCTCAGGCAGGTAAAACGTCAAATTGTCTCCCAGGGTGCTGCAGTGGAGCGCACTGATTCGTACCCATCTGTCTTCTATCATGTCCGCCAACAGATCTGACAATTATCTTAATGCCCATATGCTTAATTGTGGGCTTCTCAATTCCCCCATTGCTATCGGAAATCCTACAGGAATTTCAATTTGGCATTCGACTTTCATTTCAGGGGATAAGATTCTCAGGCCTGCCATTTCACCCCCCCCCCCCCAACATGCCAGCTAAGTCTCTGACAGCGGAAGCTCAAGCAGTATGGGACGTAGCCCCTGCTCGGTACAAATATAATAAAATGTCACCTGGCTTTCCAAAACTGGCAGCCTATTCCAAATTAATGTTCACTGTATTCCATCAGCTGCTGAGTTCCGAGTCCAGAGGGGAACCATTTCTGCCAATGCCACCACACCGGAAAATGTACCAATAAAGGCCTTATTAAACACACCAGTAATGCCATCATTGCTATGTGAGGATGTTTGGATGCTTTTCCAGCACCCCACCCTCATCTCAACTACTCAGATCCTAAGAAAGACACCATACTGTAAATACTCTTTATTTTTCCAAGAAAAGAAATTATAGAGTTCAGTGTGGTTAAAAAGAATACCGCTGAATTTTATGAAGTACTATTACCTACTCTGGGGCTCGGAGATGATGAACTTGTGGCACTGAGAGTGTGGTTGCTGACTTTGTAGCACACGCCTTGGGGTAAAACCATTAAGCATTGTAAACCGAGGGTCCAGGAAGCACTAACATTTGCCTCTGCATTTCCAAGTGGTTATTTAGTTAGCCCACCATCCAGTGAGTACTGACGCCAGACAGTGGGTTTAACTCTAAAAAAGTGTTTATCCATGAATTTATACTGCTGTGGAACAACATTTATTTTTCTAATAAAAAATAGAAACACAGAACATGAAAATCTTTGGTCTTTTACCACAGTGTTTTAAAAAGTTATTTCCAAAGACGTGAAACAAAACTACTACACCACTACTCAGAGCAGCCAAGGATTTTATATGTATCACCTTTACACATACAAAAACCCTGCCAAGCTCTCTCTCTCTCTCTCTCTCTCTCTTTCTCTCTTTCTCTCTCTCTCTCTCTCCTCTCTCCTCTCCTCTCCCCTCCTCCTCTCTCTCTCTCTCTCTCCTCTCCAAAACAATAAGAATGAAAACAGTTCAGGAGAGGGAAGGAAGATCACATAAATTGCTGTCATAGTTTATAATCAAAGCACAGCTGGAGCAGTAAAGGACTCAGAAGCCCTGAGTGTGACTGAGCATTTCAGCTGTGACAACGGGGACAGTCTATGTCTGTGCACTTGGTGACTGAACTTTCCGAATAGTAGTTACTGACTTTCCATAAGGCTTCTTCAGATGTACCAACACCCTACTCATGCCCTGCAAAGCAGCCCACTCTGTTTTGAGCATGGATTGGCATGGCAGTAGATCTCATCCATTAGCCCCAGTGTCAGTACTAAAGTTCTAGAGAATATAAGCCCTCTCTATACTAACCAGGCAGGTGCATGCCCAGCCTCTCTCTGAACTCAGATCTTCTCCTGCAGGCAGGTCATGGCTACCTCAGCCCTTCAAACACTTCCCACCTACACTCTATGCATTTTTATTTTCCTTTGGAACAAGAATGGCCAGTTTTGCTTTGTAATTTTTTACTTTGGAAACCCAATGCACTAAATATCTTGCATTTCCATAGGGATGACTCTAGGTTGGTATCCCCAAAACTGACTATAGATTTGGCCTCGGTGTAGATGAAGGCTCCTTTTCCTTCACAATGATTCTACAGATGTGCACAAGCCTGCTCTGAAAGGCACCTGTGGAAGAATTGAAGGTTTTTTTTTTTTTTTTTGTGTGTGTGTGTGTGTGGTTATTTAAAATAGTTACTAAATGAATATTTTCCCTTCTAGTTCCCACGAGAGGGAGAAAGAACTTATAACCTTGCTATAGCTTTCATCTCAGCTGGATGTGAGAGTCGGGGTAAGAGAGTTCAAAGAGGAAGGCAGAGTCCCAGTGTCTGCTTTCTCTGAGAGATGTGAGCAGATATCATAAGTTGTTTAAGAGCAAAGTGATACAAATGACACTACAGGTCACAGAGTAATCCCCAGGCTTATCATAAAAAATTCTAATGTTATATGGAAACCAGAGTATAGCACAATAGCTATGTACATGACTAAGTGCTTCAACTGAAAAATCCTTACATACTGTACAAAACTGATGGCTGACGGAGCTGAAGGACCCTCAAGATTCAAGCTAATGTCACTGATGGATATTTTTGCAATCATGATCTCCATTTTATTCAGATCTATTTGGGCTAAGTACCTTTACTGTACTATGGTGGGAACATACCAGAGGTTATATTTGAGAATAAAGTTATCTCAAGTATATTTCAGTTTGGATTTTAGGGATATTTGGCACCTTACTTTTGTCTTTTATAGATAATTTCAAATATCAGTCATTCCCCACATGGGAAGTTGGGGTCAATGGTGCCTTTGATGTGCCACTGTTTTCTTTGTAACTATGTATATTATGGGTCACTTGAATAATCCAGCACCTTGTGGAAATGAGCTGGAGCCTGTAGCTGTGGAATGATATTCCAATTTGAAGAATTAACTTTGACTGTCTTCTTGGTCACAGACAGCATGTCTCAACCCTATTTACTTTTCTTTTAAAAATATCATCTCTAGTCACATACAAACCAGGCAGGTTGGAGGTGGAGGCTAGTGCAAACTCATTATAATTATAGCTATCAGAGTAAGAGGAACTCATGCAAAGAAACATCTAAATCACATTGGATCTCAGGTCCAATATACCCTAATTCTGGCATAGCCACTGAAATTCTCCTGCCTTAGTTTATCATGGGAGATGTTCAAATACATTTAGACATGTATTTACTTGTTAAATCATACAAATACCATGTAATTTAAATAACCACACTTTCTGAAGAACATTTGACATGCTAAATTCATAGAACATAAAGTTCAAGAAACTAGCATAGTGGTTTTCCACCTGTGGGTTATGACCCCTTTGGGGGTCAAATGACCCTTTCACAGGGGTCACATATCAGATAACCTGCATATCAGAAAATTACATTATAGTTCCTAACAGTAATAAAATTACAGTTATGAAGATACAATGTGATGATTTTATGGTTGGGGAATCACCACAACATGAAGAACTGTATTAAAGGCTCACAGCATTAGGAAGGTTGAACACCACTGGATTAGAGGGACATAGAAATCAGGTGAAACTTTATTTCAGAGAAGAAATGTAAGGGTAAGAGTGACTTACCCAACAACTAGCTGCATAACTAGAAAGGTCTAAAGTAACTCTGAAAGCTTATGATATTGAGCAATTTTACTAAGCATATAAATTACACCTAAGAGAGGGAAGTGAGTTAAGGGGCACATGGGGCTTGCCTCCTTGGAGCTTTTTGTTAGAAAACTTGTGTGTGTGTGTGTGTGTGTGTGTGTGTGTGTAATATATTCTTATGTACATATATGTATATACTAATACTACATGCATATAAATACCTGTACATTCACAGACCTGAAACATTTTTCTTTATTACAGGGGGAAAAAATCAGAGCTCAACACCTCAGGCCAAGACCAAGATGTCTAACTAAATTATAGAATTTAATATTTTCCACGACTCTTCCAATATAAACAGATTTAAAAGACAAGCAGTTTCAAATGAAGTGGCCGTTGGCCAGGCTGATTTTACTCAGGGACACAAGGAGCATCTCAGTAAACACCCTTGTCCTTATCCTCAAAGCTAACAACAAACATCACAAACAAAAAAGACATTCAGTGCTTTTGCTCTCTTTCTTTCCAGGGAGTATTGTGAAAGTAATTATTCTGTTGTATTTAAGAGGCCTATTTCATGGATGGGAAAATGTATTAAATTTCATTTGGCAGTTATTCAATTCTAGTTAATGTTATCGCCAGAGATAACTGCTTCCAAACAGGCTTTCAGACCCGAGTCCCTCCCATTCTGCCATAATCCTTGTAAAAGAGCAGGATGGAGACTTTTGGCAAATTTCATCCCATGTGTAGACCCATGAAACAATGGCATAAAACCAGATATGTTATTGAAATATTATTGAAAACTGATGCTTGTTATTGATGGCTTCTGGTTTTCAGAAAGTACTAAGGAATGAGCAAAGTGGGTAAAAAAATAATTTTTTTGTTTTACTCATTTCTCAACATACACACACACACACACACACACACACACACACACAAATTGGGGGTGGCTTCCTGTCATGACATACTGACATGGCAAACATTTCTAGTGTTCGATGGTAATCTCCCATGAAATATCATTTCTATACAGCAGTTAAAGGATACTGAATTTCACCTTCCATCATCTTGCTAGATCTCTTTCATATTACAGGAAAGCAAACCTATTTTTCTCCTACGTGCAACATCCCATTTGTGTCAAAAGTGCAACTTTTAAAGAGGGAGAGATTGAATGGAAAATTTTGAGTGGTTAACAGACGGAATTCAAAGCTCATAAAAGGCCAGCAGAGGATCAGTACTGTGAGGAATATACCAAAGACTCAGGGTTTTATAGAAAACAAGGTGGAACTCTAGAAGCCAACCATTGTAGGAGAAATTCCCAACATCCAGGATATCTTTTAACCACAAATATAACTTCCTATTTGCTCAGTTTTTTAAAAAAATTATCAGACTTTTTTTT